TTGTAAACGATATAAATTTTGTTTTTAAATTGTATAAAACTTTTTTTTTATTATTTATATTAATCTACAACTAATTTAACTTTTAATTTTTATTAACTATTCAGCATTTTTAAAAATTGTAATCGATATAAATTTTTTTTTTAAATTGTATAAAATTTGTGTTATAATCATTTCGCACGCTGGTTCTTTCGTGTTTTACGAAGCAGCCAAAGCATAATTACACATATAATCTGTATTGAAATAAAAAGAGAATAACTCGGAATTTCTTGGCAGCAAAAAAGTGCAGTATTCTATTTTTTATTTAAAGCAACGACTCGCACGTTTTTTCTTATTGGCAAAAAGTTAACAACATATCCTAACCAATTTTGTGTAAAATCTAGTTAATTGTTGAAATGAAATTTCACCTGAAAAAAGTATGAGACGATCAGTATGCCATCGCTTTCTTTAGCAGCAATCGCATCCAACAGTGTATTGAAGCCCCGTTTTATGTGCCACACCTGTAACTCCATAGGATATCGAATATAATCTAAAGTGTGTTCGCTGCCTTCGTCGTTCGACTGTCCCCAGTGAAACACCATCGAGTGCAGATCGTAAATGCTGGTTAGACATCCACCTTCGATGTACGGTCGATTCAAGTTCCCCCACATTGTGTTTACTGTCACTAGAGATCGAGTAATTAGCATTGAAAGAATTATAACGCGAGAGGAATAATCCTTAAGAAATTTGTAACGAATAATGTGATGCAAGGTGAAAAGCAAAGTTGCAAGCGGCAAAACGTTCTTGTAAACTTTAAAACTCAATTGATAGGATATGATATAGAATAACATAAGGCCCAGAGTAATTTGCGAATTTGCTGCAATAATATTAATATTATTTTTGTATAATATTATAATAATATTATATATCTCACAATATTTATAATTATAATATATAATATATAATAGTATAATAATATTATATATAATATTATAATATTTATATAATTATATTATAATTATAATATAATATTTTAATATTTACATAATTATATTATATTATATAATAATATAATACTAATAATAATATATATAATATTTTAATAATATTAATTTATAAGGAGCAATTTACAATGCAAATATAATTTTAGCATTAATTAGGCAGAATTGGGCAAAGAATGAATCAATAATTACACTCCAATTTCAATTGTTAATCATAAATAGCGATATCTATTTTAATTGTTAGTTGCAATGATCGATTAAATACGTTTTAATCGTTAATTGCGATTAAGAATTAAATTCTTATTTTAATCGTCAACTGGTGTTAACAATTAAATTCGTTTTTATTTTAATCGTCAATTGGATTCATTAACAATAAAATGCTAAAATTCATTTTGTAATGAAATTAGTTTTCAATGCGTGTCTTTTTGTTCGTGATTAGGTCGCGAAATATCTTGCAATAAGGTGGTAAAGCTTTTGTAAGTCCGTGAACTAATAAAATAATATTAACATCTAATGCAACGAAATAGTTTTATTCTTGTTTGATCATTTAATAAATTTTTAAGAGATTTAAAATAAACTAATTAGGCTTGCATATGGATCTCTATACCTCTCAGTAGTTCGAGTTAGGAATGTGTTTTATTTCGATTGTAAATGTCTTAACTTTAAAGCGTCGACGCTTTATTACAATTTCAAAGTATACCTTCAATTTAAATGAAATTATTAATATTATTTGGATCAAGGACCTCACCGATTTCAATGACCTTGAAATATGTTATCACGATTCTGAGCAACTTTTTTTATATGTTACCATTGCTCGACTTTAGCTTTCGAGATATACGAAAAAATATTTTTTATTTTATAGATACAGTGATGAGCAAAACTGAACATACACGTGGAATTTTAACATAGATAATATTTTATTAAATATTTGCATTTAGAATGCAAACAAACAAAACATGTGGTGTTTTGTAGGGCAGTTCAATTTTTTTTTCAAAAAAAATTTTGCCATCAGTATTTTGACAAATACAAAAATGTTTTCGCGGAATAAGTTTTACGTTGCAATTAATTTAAATGAAAAACTATCGATATTTTAGATTGTTATAACTTCGTAAAAGAAAAAGAATCATATAGCAATCTATTTGATGTCATTATAAAGCGTAAAAGTTCTATTTCGACTATCCTGAATTCGTTCTTTTTTCCACTTTAACATCGTATAGCAAATGGAAAAATGTTCTTCTTTCTAAAAAACATTGCGAAAATTTAACTCGTGAAGAATTTAAATTTTTGGATTTAAATTCGATCTGGGCAATTAAAATTTCCCTTCTAATATGATTCTTAAAGCCTGCTGTGTAATTTTTTTCATCGTTTTATTGAACTTTGAACGACAAAAATTCAAGAAGTTCTAAAATTTTGTCATCTAATCGTATTGTTCAAAATTGAATAAATTGTAAAAAAATCGTACGGCAGAGAAAAAATTTCAGTGTTCAAAATCAAGTCACAAAAAATTTTTCCGAATTTTTAGAATTTACTAGAATAAAAGTAATGTCATTTTTCCTCATCTACAACATGATGTAAAAACATGAAGAATAATTGTTTTGAAAAAAACAAACTTAACACAATCATAACGAGATCAAATAAATTCTTTTATAAAGTTATAATAGATATAACAGTACATCATTATCATGTGTTCAATTATGCTATTCACTCTATGTTCAATGCTATATTTCTTCTCGGGATTTAGATTAAATTCAAATGAAATTAGAATTCATTTTGAGTTATATTTATTTAAATTTACTCATAAATTGCATTATTAACGTAATTGGAAATACGTTTAGATTTGTCTAATTCAAATCTGTCCCAAGTTGGCTGGCAACAATTTTACCTTATTAAAGTAATTATAAAAATAATTTTTAATAAAAAGAATTATTGGAGAGACTGAGATGTCCTACTGAAGTGTAGACTCTTAAATATAACGTTACGAACTCAAAAATCATTAAAATCAGTGAGGCTTATCCTTTAAAAAACATATTGAAATATATTATTATAATCTAATCTCAAAAGCTAAGTAACTTCGAGCAGATAACATGAATGTATAGGAAAAAGTTGCTTAGAATCATACACATGACACATTTCGACGATTAATACCATTAATTGATTAAATCAATTGCCTATTTTTGCAGAAGGTAATCAAACGAAAATTGACGATATATTATCTAATAAAACTTTTGTCTGTCACGAAAAATTTACCTTTTATTTGCAAAAAAGATACAAAAAACTTGGCGACAAATTAACGTAAATCATTTGTATGGATTGATTGGACGCGTAAACTTGGTGACAAATTGCCGCGGCAGCAAATTTGCTGCAAACAGTTAGTCTGCCCCGGGCCTAAATACATCGTCGATGGAAAACATTTGAAAATGTACCTGCGACGCGTAATTTTCAACGACTGATAAACAAATACCAAATAGTATTAAATTATTAAATTTTTAATATATTAATTATCAAATTAGTATATAATTACTAAATGGTATTAAATTATTAAATTATTAATATGTTAATTATTAAATTAATAATATGTTAATTATTAAATTAATAATATGTTAATTATTAAATTAATAATATGTTAATTATTAAATTAATAATATATTAATTATTAAATTATTAATATATTAATTATTAAATACTAAATAAACAAATATTAAATGAGTAAGTAGTCAGTTTGCTTATTGAATTAGCGAAGAAGTTGCACCGTTATTTCCATTGTTCGCTATGATCATTGATAATGGTCTTTTGTCGTAGCCATTCCATCGAAGAGGTTCGGATGGTTGCACCACAACGGCGAGTTGCGTCGTAATGTTGATTGGTGACTGATTGCTACCGTTACTATCAGGATACAACAGTTTCCACATGTGGGGCCCATTGCGGTCCGTATAACCGAATGCGAACGAAGGGAAATTGCATTCGTTCTCCACCCAGGGGAATAATTGGGTCCAATCCAGAACTTCGGTCAATAGCAAGACTGCAATGAGCGGTTCAGGGTGAAAAATGACATGTATGGTTAAGATAAATAAATAACAAAGTTGAGTAAATCTTCTTACATATGAGGAGGACACTGCTACATATGATCATGAATTCCGACACCGATATGTTTATCATTTTCATTAATCACTTAAATTATATCGAGAAATACGAGACTCTGCATAAAACTTAGGATCACATACGTTTTGTTACATACATATATATATATATATATACATACATCATACATACACATAAAAATCTCACTTGTGAATTTTAGAAAAAACGTTTCGTAGAATAACCTGCTAGCTGCACAGGTAAAATAAATAATCAACGAATATCGAACTCGATATATTGGAATAACTTCAAACCGTGGTTTCATTGTTTCGATCGATCGATGTTGTGTTACTTTTTTTTTTGTGGCACTTGGGAAAATTAAATTTGTAACTCCAAAAAATATACACAACGTGATGAGAAAAATAAATTATAATATTGAAAAATGTAAAATACAGTAAAAATTTTGCCAACTGTTACAAAGAAGTAATATAATGTCGATAACAGGTATCGAAAATCGAAACAATGAAACCGCGACTTTTCTACGAAGTTGTATCTCAATACTCAACATCGAACTCGATATTCGTTACTTATTCATTTCGCCTACATATGTAACCGGCAGGTTATTTTATTAAAAGTTTTCTTGAAAATTCACAAGTGAAATCTTGTATGTATGTATGTATGTATGTATGTATGTATGTATGTATGAATGTGTGTATGTAATATATACATGTGTACGTAATAAAAAATGTGTGATCGTAAGTTTTACGAATAGCCCGTATCTTCCAGACATAATTAAGTAAAACGCTGTATATACAATCAATGTGTTACATAAAATAATAATAACGATCGTTGTATAAAAACGAAAAAAGAAAAAAGAATGCAGTGTGCAGGTAAAACCTTGAAAATTTGTCCTCCGCTATCCTACGTTGATATGTATCATTTTAGGTGATGGTCGAAAATGGGGTCAGTCCCCAATCGATATCGACGAAAACAATGCAATCGGGATAAAATTTCCTGCGCTTTTTATGAGCGGCCACTGGAACCAGGATGGTAAAGTTAAAATGCGAAACACTGGCACTACAGGTGACCTAATTTCCTTATCAAAAATTTATTTAAATCGCCGATCAAACTTTTAACGTCCTACGAGATTATGGTACAGAACTGAGATTAACCACTTGCGCTGGCAACTGATTGCGGACCATAACGAGTGACCAAACCGTATACAATAATTCGTCGCTTTCTTTTTGAACTTGTCAGTACAATATCACTGGATAGAAATTATTGAGAAATAATAAATTTATTATGGATTATACTTAAAATATACTTGAAACTGAAAAAATATTGCAGTTTTGAGATAAAAAATTCTTGACGTGCATGGCACGTCATCCCAGCGCAAGAGGTTAAGTAGTTAAACTATTTCAAGTTTTATCATTTCTCTGTCACTTTTTCACACGCGAATATTACGAAATTTTGACCAATAACGAAACTGTTCGTCTGCTAGTTCAAATAACACTGGAAGAAAATAAAAGTCCAGCGACGATTCATGGTGGCCCACTGGCAAACGACGTGTACGAATTGTCAGAAATAGTATTTCGATGGGGTTCGTCGAACTGCAAAGGCGCGGAGCACACGTTGAATGGCACTTGGTTCACGATGGAGGCAGAAGCAATACACTTTAATAAACGATACAAAACAATCGACAATTGTTGGGACAAGCACGACGGACTCGCTATCTGCTCCTACTTCCTACAAGCTTATCAAGTTCCAGTTTGGGATGAACATCCGTTGTTTGCCAAAATCACGGACAACTTGTACAAGATTATCGAGTCCGACTCGTGCGTGAAGTTACTCCCAAGTATGCCATCTGTGATTTTCTCACGGTATTTTAACCTCTTGCGCTGGTAACTGGTTCACGGACCATAACGAGTGACCAAACCGTATACAGTAATTCGTCTTCTTTTTGAATTCTTCGTTATATTACTGGATAGAAATAACTAAAAAGTAATAAATTTATTATTTGTTTTGCCTGAGTTTCAATAATACTTAAAACTGAGAAAATATTGCAATTTTGGGGCAAATATTTTCGACGTGCCTGACACGTCATTCCAGCGCAAGAGGTTAAACGCATAAAAAAAAATACATTAAGATGAGGTAACATTGTATACGTAATTCTTGTGTGTGTGTGTTCACTTTTTAATCCCATTTATTCTATTGTTGCTTGAAGACTGCTTGTGCTGGATGAGACAGGCTTGTCAAGCATCCGGTTATTACACGTATCTCGGCTCGATCACGACCTTTCCGTTTTACGAATGTGTCACTTGGATTGTTTTCCCAGAACCAGTCAGGATTTCAGAAAATCAAGCAGAATTGTTTCGAATGTTACGCAATAAACAAGGCATGTGCATTAAGGAGAATTATCGAGAGGTGCAAAAATTAAACGGTCGGGTAGTTTATTATGTCAATTAAAAATTGGTTCGATTGAAACTATTAAATGGTACTCATGTATATTTATTACATTGTATTACGTGTACATACACGTGTATCGAATAAAAATTTAATGTGTCGAAAATATAGTCAATTTATCGGTCTTTAGTTACTAATAGGTATGATATCTTAAAATATTGAAAGTATCGTATCGAAGTTGTGTAATTAAATACTTAATATGCAACAAACTTCATTTCAAAGATCGAAACATGTCGTCAGTAATATAATTATTTTCATTTCTTTTACTTTGTTATATTTCTGGCCATCAAGATGGAAATTTTTGTGATATTTATTCAAAGAATCTGTTCAATTATGTAAAACGAGAAATGTCGAAGGAAAAAAGAAAGCAAGCAGGTACAGAGAGACATGTGTATTGTCATTGGCATTTCTAAATCGTTCAAAGACTTTCAAACTTGGTGATTTTTCAAGTTAGTAAAACTGCCACCTTGTCTACGTCATCGTCGGGATTACCTAAATGGCGACAATCACCGATTAATCTATGCAAAACAGCTACATGGACGAAAAAATTCTCGCCTCTATATATGACAAACTATTGGTTAAACGAAGGTACAGCTACGATGACGAATACTGGTAAAACTGGTAATTTTCATTCGCAAATATTAATGTCATAAATATCTGAATTTTGCTTTACGAATATTCTTTCTACAAATATTCTGTTTCAGTTAGCATAGAATTTTCCGACAGAGCACTGCCTACGATGCGAGGCGGTCCTTTGGGTAAGGACGAGTTTCAGTTCATGAATGTGCAATTTCGCTGGGGCCCGGAAAACTCGTTGGGTGCAGAACATTCTATAAATGGGATCTGGTTAGAGAACTGGTCCTTTGAACCATTCTTCCTAAAATTCGCAAAATTATCTACGTTTCAAGTAATTCTTCTGAACGCAGGTACTCTATGGAAGCGCAAATAATGCACTGGAACACTCGTTACGGATCGATAGAGAAGTGCTTCGACAAACCAGATGGAATTGCGATACTCTCTTATCTCATGCAAGTGCGTATACGTATCATAATTATTTCAGACGATTTACTTATACTATATTATACTTTACTATGATGCATGAATATTTCAAATGATTCAAAATAGACGATTGGCTGTCCCGGGATTCCTGATAATCCTTCTTTAACAAAGATTACTAACAGCTTGACAAATATCAAAAGAATGGGAAGCAGTACCAAAATTTCACCTGGTGACAATTATTTTCTTTTTTCCTTGTTTTACTAGTTTCTGTTATTTGCAAAGTTTTATTATCCGCAAGATTATTTTAATAAGTTATTAATGTTTAATAGACTGCCTGCTTTGGATGTTAGAAGCGTGCAAGGGTCACGGTTATTATACTTATTCCGGTTCTCTTACCGTTTCACCGTACAACGAATGCGTCATTTGGATTATTCCGGCTACTATAACGAAAATATCCGCTCGTCAGGTATTTTTTATTCAAAACGTCTGTCATCGTGTGACGCACGACATCGTGTTATCTTTTATAATATTTTTACACCAGATAGATGCATTTAGGAATCTTTATGACGAGAAATGGAAAAACATATCGGGAAACTGTAGACAGCAACAAAATCTCAATAGAAGAAGAATTTTATTTGCTATGGATGATGCTGTAGCATAGAAAGTTACTAATCTATTATTAACTAAACATAATTTTAAAAATGTTTGATTTATAAAAATAAGTATGTATAAAATAACATGAAATAAGTCATATTGAAAAAATTTTAATTTTAAAAAATAATATCTAAAATTATTTCTTATAAAATATACGAGTGATATTCTTTCTTATAGAAAAACGAACCTAAGACAATCAAAGTAGAATATTCATGCTTTGAAATGAGATCAAGTAGTTCTGTGATTTTCTTTTACGAAATTACAACAGTTTAAAATATCGACAATTTTTTATCAGTTCACTGTACACACTGACATTTCATACGAGGCGAATGATCATTCAGAGCTTCAAGTGTTCAACCGCTGATCGACAAATAGAAATGTAAATATCCTCTTGAGAATATCGTGCGAGCATTTCCTTTTGTAAGAACCGGCATCGTCCAGTCTATTGGATGGTAATATAATTCATTCGATGAAATCTGGTCCAATATAAACTGAAAAATGAAATATATATATTAAACATCCAACCCCCGTCTCCATTCCGATTCATGGGCATAAAGTAAAAAAAATTCAAAAAAATATAGAGAGTTTTGCAATGTATACAGTACGTCCATTTTAACTCTGGTATTTTCCTCACTTTTTCATCACGTTGTAAGGATGTAAAAAATTATAATTTAAAATTATACTTTAATTATAACTTAAAAAATTATACTTTACTAAAATATTACTAATTACTAATATATATATATACTATATAATACACATATATACTTTACTACAATTATACTTTATTAATATATATATATACATATGATTTACTATATATATTTACTAATATATATATATATATACATATATACTTTACTAAAATTATATTTTAATTATAATTTAAAAAATTATACTTTACAGTTTTACAAGAACAAGACAGGATTTCCACAGGAAACTTATTGATGTGAAAATGTTGTAATACTAACTGTACTGTACTGACTTGTGATCCTTTGTGAATCGTTAAGCCGCACTTTCTGATTTGTATTTTGGTTCCTGACCAAAGTACCTTAGAACGATTCGACTAATTCCTAACAACGTTCAGTCTCTTTAGATATCTTCTTTTTCTGCAATACTCTATTTATAAAAAATGTGAAACATACATATAGTGAAACATAAAATCCTATTGAATATTAAAACAAAATATTTAAAAATGATGTATTTATTGAAATATAATATCCATTCAGGCCACATAGCCCCGAGTAGGACAGCAGAATTAAATGTCTATATATGATTATAATTATTTCCATAGGGTGGCCACTGAAAGGTTTGAAAAAGAAATAACTTGTTCATTTACAATCTTTTTTACTTTCTTTTTTTTCGTAGGTTATAGAATAAAATTTCTAACAATAAAGCTACATTCTATTTTTAATTTTTTTATAAAATATTAATCAAAAGTCCAATTTTACTTCTTAATTAATCCTATGTGGTTTCAATGATGCAAGATGTTCATATAAAATCAATGATTAGGTATGCATGCCCATTTCGTTTTATAAATAGAGAATTTTTCTAAAAATTCGATGATACGATTTCTTTTGTATCGGCATCAAATTGGATTGAACCTGACTTCTCACTTCTTTACCTACTTTTCTTACTTAATTCTTATTTTACAATCTTTCCAATCCTTTTGAACAGGATCAAATTTAATGGGAAAAGATAGTAAATCCAAAATACGAAATTTTAGTTTTCCCTATAAAATCAAATATTTTTCACATAAAATATTTTACAATATTTTTATATTTTCAATAATTAAAGAAATAATGACGTGTTGACATTTAACACTGCTTCTTTCACGTGTTATTGCAACAAACAGTCAAATAGTTTTGTCAGTTAAATTCATAAAAATTTCTAAAAATTCAGATTCTTCAACAATAAAAATCCCAAAATTTTACATTTACAACACGAACGTGTATCGTCATACTGTTAAAATAATTGATGGTATTTTGTGAAAATGATAGCACAAATAATAAGCGTGTGATTATTGATTAAACAGACGACATGACATTGACTTCATGGATTTCAGACTTTAAAATACCAACTCGAAAAAACATCTATGCAAACACAGACGATATATGCGTAGACTATCATAGGATCTTAAGAATGATGTATGTTGTATAGAATTAATTTATGGACTTTGTTGCGTGTAATATAAAATACAGAATCCAAAAAAGAAATATATTAATTTTATAAATTCATTTGCAATGTATCTTATAATTAATTTACATAACAAATATTTTTATTAAAAAACTGTCTACAATATTGAGAATCGATATTAAACAACATTAATTAATATCTCAAGTTTTTCATATGAACATTGATTTGTCTTACGCGTTATGCTAATAACATATCTTAAAATTTATATTGTATATGTATAATATTATATATATTATATATTAAATTGTCTGAAAAAAGAATTGGTTGGAATAAGAAGTTGTTGATAGAATTACTCAGCTTCTTTCATTCAGTTTTTACGAATTATTGTACTTGTTATTCTTCAACCTTCGAAACTATTCTAATTACTCGATATTTTTTGAATTATTAGTCATTTTATTAATTTTTACGAATTTTATTTTCGAATAATTAAAGTTATTTTCAACAACTGCTGTTCTGATTCTATCTATATATTTATCTATTCATATTTTAGAAAGTTACTTGTTTATTAATGTGTCACACAAGCCACAATTCTCCCCACACGACGTATACAATATCTTATTCATTATGTCATCTCCAAAGGAAAATTAAAGATACTTACGGACATGTTTGAAACTAGAATATTATAATTCCGTAAAATTTTTAATTGATCTTGCAACGATGTCTGAATATACAGGTTTAATTGGTAAGATAATCTAAACTTTTAATATTTCTTGTTTGGTTATATGTCATGCAATGTGAATAACTCTATTTGTAAATCTAATTTTTCTTCGAGGCTTACCAACGACGGGTCAATCTCCAATTAATCTAGATGATCGTTTAGTACGAAAACGCAGATATCCTCCGCTTGTTTTAAATGGTTACTGGTTAAACGATGGAGAAGCACGATTGTTAAATACTGGCAGTACAGGTTCAATTGATAAAATATTGCAGTTTTTCTATATCAATCGAATCAAATAATTATATTACAATTAAAAGAATTGAACAGTTGTTCAATTTAATTGGCAGTTAATTATATGTATCAAAAATAAAATTTACATTTAAATTTATCCATTTATTAAATTTTATATATACAAAAATATTGTAAATATTATATATAATCTTATATAGACTATATATAATATTTACAATATTATATATATATATATATATATATATATATATATATATATTAAAGTCCTTTTATTTGCAATTAAAATAATCTCCTAAATAATTTCTCAAATCTTCTTAAACTCATTGTGAATTACATCTTGAATTACTTATTACATAACTGTCACATGATTACATAACTATTACAATTGTACAGACTTTTACACAAATTCGTATTTCTGAAAATAAAATCTCGGTAGAAAATTGTTTTATATGCCAAATATTATAAAAATCATTATAATTCATATATTTTATATACTTTTTCATATTTACACGCACTCTTCGCAATATCGAATTCTAAAATTTCTCGTAAATACATGCAAATCCGGGGTCTAATTATAACAAACGAAAGACAAGATAACGAGTATAAAGATATAAGATTAATATTTTGAAAAATTGATTCGATCGAGAGATGCACAGTTAATTAAGATCAAAACTCCAATACTCCAAATTCTAACATATTTTTGAATATCTAGCTAAAATATATTTAACTGGGAATAGAATTCCATCCACGATTTGCGGTGGACCCCTTTCAGACGACGTATACGAGCTAATGGAAGTGCATTTTCACTGGGGCGAAGACGATTGCAAAGGCGCTGAGCACACAATCAACAATACTTGGTAAAAGAAGGAAAAAGGAAACTAAACTCGTTCTTTTTTTTTTTTTTTTTTAATTATATAATTTTTACGCTCAAGGTATTCAATGGAATGTCACGTGTTACATTGGAACAGAAAATATCTGACCGTAGAAGAGTGTTTCAGACACAAAGATGGTTTTTGCATATTGGCATATTTATTTTTGGTACGAATCTTCGATTCTTGCATTCGTCTTTTACATTCGAGTTTCGTTTCTATATTTCCCTGTCGAATGTACAAATTTTGCTTAATTTTAAAAAAGGTCCAACCAGGTTATTGCAGTTGCATTAATCCACAATTGGAAAGGATAACGGAATACTTGAAATACATTTTAGATCCAGACATGGAAACAAAAATACCAGCTAGTAAGATTGAATATATGTAATTTGGAACATTATTTCGTTAAAATAATTTGTGCATTATCATAATATCTAAATATTAATTTTTAGTTGTACTGTATATTATTTGATATTATTTCATTAATATTATTTATCAATTATTAAATAATGTTATTTTATTATATTTTATATAATTATATAATTTTATATTATATTATTTGTATAATTATATAATTTTATATTATTTTTATAATTTTTATTATTTTATTTTTTTATGTGATTATATAATTTTATATTATATTATTTATTACAGACATGGAAACAAAAATATCAGCTAGTAACGATCGAATATATGTAATTTGGAACATTATTTCGTTAAAATAATAATGTGTGTGTTATCATAATATCTAATTTTTAGTTATACTGTGCATTATTTGATATTATTTATCAATTATCAAATAACATTATCTTATTATATTTTATACAATTATACAATTTTATATTATTTATTATAGACATGGAAACAAAAATATCAGTTGGTAATGATCGAATATATGTAATTTGGAACATTATTTCGTTAAAATAATAATGTGTGTGTTATCATAATATCAAAACATTAATTTTTAGTTATACTGTACATTATTTGATATTATTTATCAATTATCAAATAACATTATCTTATTATATTTTATACAATTATACAATTTTGTATTATTTATTATAGACATGGAAACAAAAATACCAGCTAGTAATGATCGAATATATGTAATTTGGAACATTATTTCGTTAAAATAATAATGTGTGTGTTATCATAATATCTAAATATTAATTTTTAATTATACTGTATATTATTTGACATTATTTCATTAATATTATTTATCAATTATCAAATAATATCATAATATTATATAAATAACATACAAATAATATTATTTTATTGTGTTATGTTATTTATTATGTTTATCAGTGACGTTATTTCATATCAATAATATTTATTATCATATTTCGCAATATCTCTCGTAGACTGTTTAGCATGGATGCGCTGGGCAACGTATTGTACTAGATATTATACGTATGCAGGATCATACAATGTCGCTGATTATCCAGAGTGTGCTACTTGGATTGTTTTCCCCGTAGTTATACCCGTACGATCCAGTGAAGTAAGTTGCAACAATATTATGTACCAATATACAGTATGTATGTACATAGATGAAAAAATTCTAATGAACTACGAAATCAAATCACAGATAAAAGAATTTCGAAGACTGAGAGACAAGGATGGGAATTTCATAAAGTCAAACTGGCGAGAAACACAATTATTGAAATGCAGACAAATCTTTTTAGCAGTTTCTTAAGTCAAAATCCTTCGAGCAGTATTTTCAAGTCGCCTTCAGATTCACCTTTGTGCAATCTTTCTGTAATCTTTCTGTAATCACATTTGATGAGATATACAACGAAATGACAAGTCACTGCGAGTTTTTGATCAATTAATTATATTATCTAATGGTTTTCACAATCGCTTCATTTATCACGCTCGTTCAAATTATTAAACGACTCGATGGATGCGAATATTCGTACTATCGTTTGTCCCAAAAGTTCATAAATACGGATAAAAAATATTTCTCCATAAAGAGAATCGTCGGTGGGAATTGTACAGCTTTTGACTGTTGTTTGAACCTGACTGTTTTGCAAACGAATATTCGATTTTTTTCCTCGTTTATTTCGTAGATTATTGTCCTTGATAGACTGCCGAGATACGTTTATCGTCAAAGACACGCCAGAAATCTCTTTATGGTCATTTCGTAAGTAAGCGTTCTTTGCTAATTCGCTTTCACCCTCGAATAAATTGAAAAACATGCACAGTATGTTATACACCATTTCGTACTTGTTGCACTGCACAGATCTGTACAATGTAGGCTCCAAACATTCTTTGTAAAGTCCGCTGAATTGTGACAACATGACATTTCTACGTTCAGATTGCTTAATTTCCAACAAGGTGTCTCGTATATCGTTCAACGACATATTCCAACGGTATTTCGTTTGATTCGTCGCGGCGTAGTAAACCTTGTGAAATTTTATCAACAGAGTCGGATTGTGATAACACAGTGGATTCTTCATAGCAAACACATCCGACTCTAAAAACAAGCTACCGTACGCTGGTTCTGGATGCTTGGTCAAACTAACGTTTTCCATAATATCGTTAATTATCTCTCGTATCGCGGCATCTCTAACGCAGCGATCTAAGTATTTGTCGACTATCTGTACAGACTCCAACTTCGCCAAACGAACGTTTGAGCTTTCGTTCGAGCAACCCGAGAATCGAAACACCAACGACGACGAACACAAGATCGGATCGGTTACAAGTTCCCAAAATTCAGTAAAGAAACGAGCGTTTCTTGCTCGATACCATACTTTCAATTTTACGATCTGTCCAGGGAGGATCACTCCTTTCGTCTTGTTGAAGAAGAAAGGGCTCGTTCGTTTGGCCAAATGAATCCCGTTGCATCGAAAATCTGCGCCCCGCCATTGGTAGACGATCACGCGGTTCCCTTTATTCTCGAACACGATTTCTTTCTCTGTTCGTTTATCAACTTCGCCGAGAAATGTTAAACTCCATGTAATGGAGTCTGGTTTCGTTCCGCGGTTCGACGGAAATCCTTCCCAAACGACTTCACGATCTTGGATCTTCAAGACGATCGCTTGCTCGACGCGACAGGGCTCGTCTTCCTCTGCCTCTTCCTCCTCTATGTCGGTTATTGTTACCCATGGAATTCTTGCGAATGGTTCCTCTTTCGGTGGGACATAATTCTTAATCGCCAAATCACTCGTTTCTGGTTCGTTCGGCATCAGCGCCTCTATTTCCCTCGACAAGTCTCTCCTCCTTCTTTCCAAATAACGACTCCGCTTCCACGACGGTTCCTTCGATTTCAAATCGAGCAGATCTTTCTCTTTTTCTATCAGTTCAGGCGTGCCGACGTACGTCAACTCCGGGATTATATTTAGCTCCTTTTTCATCGGAACGAGCGTAATGTCCGGCAAACAGGAGACGCGTTTAGGCAGTTTCTCCGGAGTCCGCCAAAACTCTGGCCCGCCGCGATATTTGTCGGGAATAATCGGCACCGGCACCGTCGCGTAATCCATCAGATTTCTCATCTCCACCAGCGGTCGTATTTTTTCACACGAATTCAGAATTTGATCGTTTTGATGACGACCGGTCGTAGACCTGATCTGTTTGTACTGTAGCCTCCATCTTTCTAACCATTTCTGCCAGTTCACCAAGCGCCGATCCTCGGGGAAAGGCAACTGCGGGCTAATAAATTTATCTCGCGCAGTGACAACTGTCGTAAACTGTTTCACCCATCGTTTCGGTTCGTCCGATTTGCCAATCTTTCGTGCGTAATCCATCGATTCGTGAAGAATCTAGTCAGAATAGAAGTACTCGTACTAAGAATGGTTCAGCTGCTTAAAAATTGTGTCTCGATTGCGAAGTCATTTGGTTTTCACGGCAACTTCATTCAAATCGGGAACGAGCGTGATGGGTAAGAAAAGTTTAGCGTAATTTGTTCCATTTGCCGTTTGTATTAATTATTTGAATTAGAAAGGTACGAACAAAATGCCAAGTTGATACGAGACTTATTCAACAACGAAGGTACATTGGAATCCCCGATCGATTTAGACATTAGTCACATGAAAATCATCGAATTAGACCCTTTGGAATGGATTGGTATTGATATAACGCCAAGGAAACTAAAAATTACCAATACAGGATTCACGGGTAATAGTCTATTAGAGATGATAATTTATACATATATTCTATAAAAATTCATGTTTCGTCGGTAGTAATTTTGTGCGCGAAATGGCAGCAAGGAGGCCCTTATCTTTCTAGAGGGCCGTTCGAAGGGAATTACATGTTCGCGCAAGTTCATTTTCATTGGGGAGAGAACGAGATGAAAGGCAGCGAGCATACCGTTGACGGAGCAAGGTTCATAATTTATAAGGTTATCTTAAGGGGTCAGGACAGTTTGAAATTTTCAAAAAATCAATTTTTTTTTTTTTTAAATAGTAGTTTGAAGTTTTAGAAATAATTTTGGAGTACAATAATAAATCCGTGGATACAGAATAATTGAATTTGTATCACTGTTTACGAACTTTAAGCAGCATTATAAAGTGTAAATCGTGTGATTCAAATGTCGCTTTTGGTGAATCGAATGTTAGGGGACTTGGATTCAATTTAGTTGTGAATTGTAAGAACTGTGAGTCGCGATATAAAAGTAAAAAAAAGTAAGTAAAGGATACATATGAAAAATGACGTTCTGAAACTTTAAACGCGTTTTACTCGAAACTAGGTTTTTAGAAACGATGTGCAAGATATCTCGGAATCTAACCGATTACTGTGAAACTAGGTGCGTATCTTTTCGTGTAATATTTACTAGGGATTGACGATCGAACATTTTTTAATTTTTAACAATTTCGAAACAAAAGACGTAGAAATTTTTGGCATAAATTCGACACATCAAAAACAAATAGCTGCTATTTTCATAATTTTCACAAAAATGAAAATGTTCGATCGCCAATCCCTAGAGAATATTGTTTACTTTTGAACTTTTTTTGCCTTTTTGTTGCTGCTAATCCTGTTTGGCTGAAATCATGCACACCGATGAGCAATGTAAAAAAAAGTTATGTAAAAAGATGCCGTTAAAAAGTCAAATAAGAGCCCCCATTTTTTTCTTTTTTAATGTTGCTTTTTATAATTCATAATGTGTTAAAATAAATCACAAAAGCTCGTGTCAATCACGCATGTACTTTCTTTCTACTAGCCTTCCAAAGTATTCGTAATATTTAGGCTCGTCAAACTGTCTTGGTCCCTTAAGTATTTCGTGTTATATATTCTTATATTAGCTGATTAGCTAGTTATGTAAGAATATGTAACCTACTAATTAGCTAATTAATTAATTATATATTATTATATTGTGTGTTTTCTAATTTATCTGAAATGCTTGTGGAACTTTGATTCGATAAAATTTCATTCAAAGTATGCCCATGGAACTTCATGTTGTGCATTTCAAGGAAGAATACGAAACATTAGAATCGGCCCTTCGACGACCTAATGGCGTTACCGTTCTAGTATATTTCTGCAAAGTAAAGAATTTACTCTTCATGTTTATATCAGAAATGTAAAATGATGATTTACTCTTACTGTTTACATTAAAAACAAATAGAAAATATTATATTAATTTAAATAACAGATAATAGGAATTGAGCTATAATTATAGTATATATACATATGTTATAATGAGAAATATTCTATAATATAATAATCTATATATATAATCTAAATCTTATAATCTTATAGTATAATCTTATAATCTTATAATCTTATAGTCTTATATAATAAGAAATATTCTTATAATAATCTAATATAAATCTTATAATCTTTAATAATCTTAAATATTATAATAAGAAATATTCTAATAATATTTCAATGATTAATTACTATATATCAATTTATAATACCTGAAAATTTATAGTTACATAGTAATAATAGCGATGGTTCTTAGTTACAGGATAAACCAAATGAATTTATGGATGGGATCGTAAATAACTTGGCTCTTATTCGTACAGCACATTCATCAGTTCGCATAACTCCTTTAAAATTGACGAACATTTTACGACCTTTCTCGCAAGATTATTTTTTATATTGGGGCTCGATAACAACAGCACATAATATACATAATATTTTCTGGATAATCTGCAGAGAACCGATTGGAATTTCTGCAAAACAAGTAAATCGTATATATTAATATCGTATAATCCCCGATGTTGCATCCGAAATATCATAGTTATATTTAGTGTTATACAGAATTTGCTGTTATCATACGAATCTCGAATTTTTTAAGCTTTAAAGTTGAAGACTTTAAGACTTATCTCTTAAAATTTTTGACGTTAAAGTAAACAATTAATATCAAATTAACGATGATTAATTAATATTAATATTTATGATATTTCACAATCTGATGATACTCGAGTCTCTATGGTTAAAAATTCGAACTTAGTTGGCACTTAAACTTTTACAGCTCAAAGCTCAAACTCAGAGAGCTCTGATCCTTAAGGCTTGAACCTCAACGTGGTTCCAACTTACGAAGCTAGAATTCGAGACATTTTTACTACACTTGTTATATTTGCTAAGATTGCAGAATTTCGCAGTTTAAACGATGAGAAAGGAATGTCCATCTTGTCGAATATACGTCCAGTGAAAGGAAAACAGGAGAAAAGTGTTTTTCACGTTTCTCCATCAGGATCAAAGTACGCTTCGCTTTTGCCAATTCCACGAGATTTGTTATCAAGTCAAATCGAAGAAGACGGTGACACTAATTAATTTAATAATATCGCTTAAAATTGTAATATCATGCCAGTTGTCATACACACATGCAAACAAGTGTAATGTTGACAATGAATCTAGCGAATGTTTCTCGAAAATATATATTTATTTTGCCCAATATTATGATTCAAAAAAATAATAACGTGATTAAAAAAATATATGACGATATAAAAGATAATGAACAACAGAGAAATTATTTTCTGCGTCTTCTGCGTCTTTTGATCCTTTCCTTTTTGAGGTCGCAGTCAGGATACGAGAGCTCACAGTCGAATCCACCTAAGCCAAGAACAGAAGCTTTCACAGACTCCAACATTGCCGACCATGGAGATCTTTTCAACATCCTGCCGGTCACCCAACTCATTCCTAAACTAAAAAAATTAATACCATATATATATAATTAAACAATTTATATATATATACAGGGTGTTTCGTAACTTGTGGAACCCACTTCGGGAGCTAATTGTACGCCTAAAAATAATGAAAAAAAAGTCATATAAATATATGACTTATCCTATCTGTCTTCGTTTATGAGATATAATAAATTTTATAAACAGAGCAAACTCTAGTAAGCTAGTTTTACCAGGGATGGTATATTCAATTTTCATAATAATCATAATTGGGATGAAGAAAACCCATGTTATTGTGCATTCAAGACATCAACAACAGTTTAATTTAAACGTATGAGCAGGAATATAATTGATAAATTTTTAATTGGACCTTTTTTTCTTGATAGGAAACTAACAGGCACAAAGTGATTTTGATTTTTTCAGCACGCGTTTACACGAAATATTAGAGCAAGTTCCAGTCGATATTAGACTTTGTNATGCGGTTTATGCATGATGGAGCTCCGCCGCATTTTAGCCGAGTGGCTAGGCAATTTTTAAATCAACACTTTGCAAATAAATGGATTAGTCCTATTGCATGGCCTGCTCAGTCTCCGGATTTGAATCCATTAGATTTTCATTTGTGGGGACAGTTAAAATCTATTGTATACGCAACATCGATTGAAAATACTAGGAAATACTAGGAAATAGAATAGAGCAAGGCTTTTGACAAATTCGAGAAACACCAGGAATGATAGAGAGAGTAACCAGATCAATGACAAGACGCGTGCAGGCTTGTTTTCAAATGCAATGTGGTCATTTCGAGCATCTTTTGTAAAAGTAATTAAAACAGAAAATTCATTATATCTCATAAACGAAGACAGATAGGATAAGTCATATATTTATATGACTTTTTTTTCATTATTTTTAGGCGTACAATCAGCTCCCGAAGTGGGCCCCACAAGTTACGAAACACCCTGTATATATGTATATATATTATTATTATTAATGTATATATATATATATTTTTTTTTATTATTATACCCTGTATATATGTATATATATATATATATATATATATATATGTATATATTATTATAGTTACATATATATTATTATTATTAATAATATATATGTAACTATAATAATAATAATATATATATGTATATATATATTATTATTATTAAATAATTTAATAATGTATATATATATTATTATTATTATTAAATAATTTATATATTATATACGTATACGTATATAATATAGTACACAAATTTCTTTAATAATCGTACTTGAATGTGTAAGAATAATTGGAATTATTCCTGCCAATTTTCAATTGCTCGGTCTAACTTTAGTTCCTATTCGAAAATTATTTCTACTAATTTTAGGTTTTTTTTATTTGAAAAATTATCGTACGTGTAATAATTACGGGAAATTAATTGTTTATACCTCCAAACAGGTATCCAAATTTTACGCGCATCTTTCGTTTGCGTGGAGTGTCGATTATTCTCACAAAGAATTCTGTGGATGCAATTTCCAAAATCCATATCGGCAACAAGAGCAGCTTCGATGCTTCTCAAAACGTTGTGAGATACTTCGTTCAATTCTTCGTAGCTGTCGTACGACAAAGGTAATCCGCCGACATTTCTTTTACGACGTTTCGCAGTCATCATCGTAGTCACGGTGGTGTTCATGTTAGTCTACGTGAGAAAACGTTGGATATAAGACAAAATGAACGAAGAATGAACGAAGAAATGAACAAATTCAAACATTTTACCGTAGCGTTCATCAATAACTGTATAATGAACAATCCGAATGCTAAAAACGCTAGTGCTGTAAGAGCAATTTCGAAAAAGTCCTTTATCGAAAGTTCACTTCCTTTTCCCTTGTAATAGTAAGGCTTGTGGTACTCTTCTTCGTGATCGTGATAAATCGGTGCGGAATAATAGTGTTCCTCGTGTATAGCGGGAAATGATTCAGTGTGATGCAAGAAATGATCTCCGCCGTGATCATAAGCGGGACCGTAAACAGGAGGACCATAATACATATTGTGGCCGGACGAAGACGAAAGCATATGATCTGTTAGAACAAAAGACAAATATTTCGCTTTAAACTCTTAGACACGATTGTCGATTAAAGGCAACAAATGTATCAACAGCCGTCAAATGCATTCATCTGAGACTGGAAACGTTGTTCAAGTATTTTCGAAATTGGTAATTATAAATTTTTTAGATAGCCTTTGTGCTATTTCGTGGAGGAAGTAATTTAATGTAATTAGTTAGTTTAGTATAGAGAATATATGAAGACTAATTTTATTTCTTTTTTTTTTTTTTTAGATGGAACCATATATTTTTTACTATATTAATAATACGGATTTATCGAAGCATTTTTTTTTTTTTGTCGCAAGACTAATATTTTAATTTTAATTTTGTAAGATTTATGTATAAAACAAGAAAAGACAAGAAGCGATAACATAAACAAGAATATATAAGGGATAATAAAATAATTACCGTTTCATGTCTTTTCTTGTTTTGCACATGATAGCTTTTACAAAATTGAAATTAAAGTAGCGCTAAATTAGTGAAACAAAATTAAATTTTTTACGTATTATATTAAATGTTTTAATTATTTTAAATTAAATGTTTCACATTATTATATTATATGATTATATTATATTATATTATATGATTTGGAGAAATGCATGTAACCTTCATATACTTTTATATTCACTTACAGCTAATTATATCGAGTGATATTCTTTATTCTTGTCTAAAACATTTTTCAATATAATTAATAGTTTGGATATCTCAACTTGGACCAATCCTGTTAATATGTATTTCAGTATATATTAGTATGTAATTAGTATAATTTTGAGCCTTAATAATTATTTCTTTTATAAAGTGTTCCAATATTGAAGGTACAACCAAAGATAATGCCACATAAAAAAATAAATCAAAATTAAAAAAAATAATTTTCTTTCATTTAAGACTTTATTTTCAAGAGAATCAAGTTTGAAAATTTATCAACTGTACTAGAATTTAGCTGACTGCGAACTAGTTGGGAGTAAATAACGAACAGGAAATTATTATATTTGTGAAAATAAGTTAAAAATGTAGAATACAATTTTTTTCACAAGATGCTTCTTTTTGAAAAAAAGAAAAAACGCAATTCAAAACATTATCAAGTACGTTTATTAAATATATTATTAACTAAGTCTACTAATACTAATGCTAACACTAATTCTTAATCTAAACATATTCAAATTCTGTTTTCTTGAGAATAAGAAAAAATTTTATTTTATATTTTTCACTTATTTTCGGATTCCTGTATATTCCAAAATTAACCGATAAATTTTCAAACTTGATTTTCTCCAAAACTTAAACGAAAAATTTGTATTTTTTAATTTCAATATACATATACATATATATATATATATAATCATTCCTTTCTCGGTCAAATCTTCAGTATTGGGACGCCGTGTATATTCAAAACATATACATACCCATGATTTACTTTATTATTAATTACCAAGTATTACACTAAAGTATCATGCGTTTCACTTGCTCGCGCCCGTGAAGTAACATAACACGACTAACGAGAGCTTCGAAGAGATGACAGATATTCACCGTCATTATTATTTTAAAATTGTATAAATGCCATTACCATTTTCCTCGTTCTGTGGTTCGTAGAAACCAACTTTACCAGAAGGCAAAGAAGCTTGCATCGCATAACCCGTCACTTCACCATCAAACTCTTCGAAATTTTCGTCGTGAGCTCCGTGCTTTTTCTTTATTTTCCTTTGCGGAATATAATGCCGATAAACGTCGTCCAAAGTTGTCCTTCTGTATAAAACCATATCTTTTTTTTTTTTTATTTGAATTGAAATCTAAATTCTGTAGATACGAGCAATTGGTAAGAAAATAAGTTACGTTTGCCATTATACATTCACAGTCAGTGACTATTCGTAATGGCAGTTGTTTAAATTAATACATATGTCAATTGATGCACGATATATTTAATTGTAGGTACAATTCTGATAATTACCGCTGCAACCAGTTTTTGTACTTTGAACTTCCTTCGTCTGCTAGTAATTTATCGTGAATAGTAACGTTGTCGCTATCCATTAAACTGTACAAATCGTCATCTTTTTCTGTCACATCCAGACGTCTTTTAGCTCTAGGTGTTTTCATTACTTTTACTATTTCCTCAGCTACGTAACCGTGACATAAATATTCGTTCATCCTTTTTCTACATAACATAACAGAGTAATGATACTTAAATAATAATACTTTTCTACATAACTAACTTAATAATACTTTTAATTTAATACTAGCTTAATAATACTTTTCTACATAACTAACTTAATCATACTATTAATTTAATACTAACTTAATAATACTTTACTACATAACATAATAATAACGTAATAATATTGAATAGTTAACAAAATATAAATTACAGCATTGACACTCGTTCGTTACTTTTTTCAAACTTACCTATGATATTCCATTTCATTTAATATTTAATAGTATATTAAATATTATAAATTTAATTACATTTAATAATAATATTTAGTAGTTAGCACAATATAAATTCCAGCGTTGACACTGGAAGCGTTCGTTACTTTTTTCAAACTTATCTATGATATTCGATTTCATTTAATGTTTGATAGTATATTTAATATTATAAATTTAATAATATTTAATAGTACATTTAATATTATAAATTTAATAATATTTAATAATTAACACAATTTCAGCGTTGACATTCGTTTGTTATTTTTTTCAAACTTACCTATGATATTCCATTTCATTTAATATTTAATTGTATATTTAATATTATAAATTTAATAATATTTAATGGTATATTTAATATTATAAATTTAATAATATTTAATAGCATATTTAATATTATAAATTTAATAATATTTAATAATAATATTTAATAGTTAACACAATATAAATTCCAGCATTGACACTCGTTTGTTATTTTTTTCAAACTTACCTATGATATTTCATTTCAATAATATTTAATAGTATAATATTAATAATTAATATTTAATATTATAAATTTAATAGTATTTAATAGTATATTTGATATTATAAATTTAATAGTATTTAATAGTATATTTAATATTATAAATTTAATAATATTTAATAGCATATTATAAATTTAATAATATTTAATAGCATATTATAAATTTAATAATATTTAATAGTTAACAGAATATAAATTCCAGCATTGACACTGGAAGCGTTCTTTACTTTTTTCAAGCTTACCTATGATATTCCATTTCATTTAAGGCATCGTGGATAGATCCGTCTATTGCGTCTTCGGGGACATTTCGTCCCTTCGTTGCGTTATCGTTCACTTGTTGATCTGCAAATAAAAAGGATCCAGGCAAAAGATCTACCGAAAGTATGTCGTTTTCGTCGATACAAAATTCATTGCCGTCGTCGAAACACTCTTGCGCAGAATTTGTGTAAATCACTGTCAGGAACCAAACAAACAGCCCGATAGATTGTATTTCTTTAAACGAATTCATTTAAAACAGTATTCTCGTTGCTTCCGAACGAAGGAAATATCATCGTGGCGCGGAGGAGACTGAGAAAACGGGAACTCGCCGCTGGAAACAATCTGTTTAACTGCCAGAAATAATTACTTTAACCGTAATAAACTACGTGTGTTTAAATGGCGTTGACAAATTTCTCCGTTTGAAATAACAGTTAGTCTTCTTGGTGAAGCACGCTCCAGATACTGCATTCGAATCTAATTCGCTTTTCGTGATTAATCATAGTGCTAATTGTGTTTTTTTTTTTTTCTTTGACGGTTGATTCAACCTCTTTAAATAAAACTTTTACTTTCCAAAGTAAAATGAGTTTGCGCAACATGAAAATTTTGGCTTACGAATTTTGTAAAAAAAAAAAAAAAAAAACGAAATATTTGTCGTTAAGATAAATATCCCCCATGCAAACAGAATGGATTTTCCGAGCATACGTATATATTTGGACACGTGTTTAATCTCACATCGACCGGTGGTACTACCAACTGATTTACACGTAATCCGACACCTATGATTAAATACCACTTTATTAAAAACCACTTACACCGCTCTTATGAATGTTTTAGGAGCGGAGGGTTTGTCGGGATGGCTCGGATGGGTCGGCGAGATGAGGTAATGGGGGCTTTGTTCCCCTGGGAACTCGCTCACCTGTCTAATATCTCGCAAGAGTGGCTATATCTGTGTCCATAGCAATGGCAACCAGTTATACATGAAGGTTACTGAAAATTAATCGCCCAGTTTTCAAAGAATTCTCGCAATACATCCTTAATCTCCTACGTCCACTCGAAATGGAACTAACACTTTTGCTCAGCACATGTCAAAGTACCTTAAAGTACCTTAAACTCGATAAAAAGAATTATTTAACGTCGCACTTTGACGATTTCACGTTCAACGCTAAGATACTGAACTCTCAAACACATTTTTATATATTACATATTATATAATATTTAATATATAAAAGTATTATTTAATATATTATTAATATTATTATTATAACATATTATTTAATATTAAAAAATATATTATGTATTAAATAAACAATTATTTATATATTAACATTTCTTAATATATCTTAATTAATCTTATATTAATCTTATATTATAATTATATCTTAATATATCTTATATATTTCTTAATCAAACTTTTTCCTAGTTTTGTACAATTTTAACGTAAATTTTAAATTTAAAAAAAAAAATTTTTACTTTTGATAAATTTTTAATAAATTTTAAAAATTTTACATTTTTGTCTCCTCTGTCGTCGATCTACCGATTTGAAAAAAAAAAAAAAAGAAACTAAATTTTGCTACAGAAAAAACATGTCAGCTGTAGTGTATGCAAGTAGGCGCATACATATAATACGCGAAAGTATCGTCCATTTGTAAAAATTTCATCGCGAGAAATACAGAAGAAATTCAGAGGAAAACTCGATGTACGATGTATTAGCAACAAAAACGCTAAAAAAAAAATTTCACGAGATACTTACGTGCATCTTGTCCCTGTGCAGCAGCAGGGTGTGGCATCGATAAACTCCTCTTTCCGTGTGTGAAAACGTTGCACGGCAATTTGTGGGTGCACGTTAGCACACCCTCCTTTTCTCAGGTGTTTGATTGATCGTTTCAATTACGCGGCGCAGCATGCATCAAACGCAAGAGTAAAGTTCGTATCGTTCGAACGATCGTCTGTTCAGCTATTTTCACTGAATTTTGTACAAACGATATAACAGTTTCATTGGGAAATTCGTCGAGTAACCGCTTCCTATACGTATAACGTAACGTGTTCAAATACAATACGTTTCATTTACGTTCGTCTCGTATAATTTTGCTATCCACTTGAATGATCTAAGGAGCAGGCGAAACGTCAGTTCTGTCATATAGACGCAAATTGTCACCCTTGCAAAAATCAACGACGATCTTTATTCCAAATATTTTGAAAGACGTTTTAAGGGTCCATAATGGTTTCTCGGAAGAAGCGTAGATACATATCCATGAAATTCCGTGTTCGTCGACCATGTCGTTATTTCCTCCTTTCGCACCTAACGAAAAGACGATGCACGGCATTTTTCGTTTCATGTAACCGGTACTCAATATTTGTTCTCGTCACTTGCACGCTTAAATTGCTCAAGTATGCTAGTAAACGACACGTAAAAATTACGATATTCTTTACGAATTTGTAACTGTATTTCTGTATTCAATCATCTAAAAACCTGTTGTATTTTTTATCAATACTCGGTCGCTTTTTTGGTTTGAAAAATTAAGAGTGAATGTAATTAGTTTCAAAGAAAAAAATTACTTTCTTTGTGTTCTTCTGGTAATATATTAATAAAATATTTCTTGAGAAGAATATGTTTTTTTATGCAAATAAAGTTGAAATTAAAATTGATAATGTACTTAACTTATTGAAAATGGCTTCTTAGCAGTTTCAGTGTAGATCTTAGATAAATATGTAAGGATGAACGTTAAAATCAGATCGACATCGATCAGAAATTAATATCATCGCTTTCTCTAAAACTGCTCAACATTTTCGACCTGTAAAGAGAAACAGTATGATCCGATAAAATGTGTCGGTAAAATGGAAGCCGCGAGTTTCAAATTTTTTTACAACTTCGTCTTTTATAAATTCTTAATTAATTGTTATTTTGACAATCTCTAACAAAACGTATTATTTCTACATATAATTCGATATCGCAAAAAGACTTAAATTTTCCGTGACAAACATAGATTTCTCTAAAATAAATCGATAAAATTAGAAATTTCATAAATAAGCTACGAAAAGATAGAAATAAATAAGAAGTTATTTCATTTCCTTTTTTTTTTTTTTTTTATCCTTTTATTTCAGTACAATTTATTCTCGAGTCTATTAACTTTTTTTAATTTGGTTTATTAGTTGGCTTTATTAGTTTATTAGGTTTCATAAATTTATTTATTTCTTTACTATTTAAAATGTTGATAAAACACTTAAACCGGTGCTAGTGAGAACCACTGCGAGGAGTTTAGTAAACGCGTGAAGAAGTGTTTTGCGGTACTTTTTCACGTCGCTCTCTGTATGGCAGAAGCGTTTATCCATTGCCAGAGTGTATATGGAATAGAGAAGGAACCATTAGTTTGCTGACATAAAGCCCTGGAATAGAGGGGTCGAAGAAGGCGGACGTTACGGAAGAGCATGCGCCTCCAAGAGCCAATCGGTGCCTCGCTTTCTGATCCCTGATAAACTCTTTTTCGGTAGATGAAGTTTGCTACTGCGCATATCATCCTATTAAACTGTAATATGTAATATCTGCGAGATATTTCTAAGACAGCCTATGACAAAGATAACAATGACAACAATAATAACGTCAGATATAAAATGGAAATTCAAAACGAATGTCGCAGAAGATAAATTAACGTTTCAAAGGAAAATTGAAAACTAAAGTTTTTTGGAAAATTTTGAAAAAGGTCTATTTACTGAAAACTGTCAGGCAAAGCCTAAAGATTTGAAATTTAAATAAAAGAACGACTGTCTCCCATATGTCTCTTTAAAGCATCATGCTATAAGTATCTTTCACTTTTATTTCTTACTTTGTCTTTTCCATGTGATCGTACGATACGATTTTGAAACTCGACTCGTGTTTGAGACTGGCGTTAATAGATATTCACGCGTTACGTGTCCATCGAAGAAAGAAACGATCACTTCCCTTAGTTTAGATCTTCTCTGATGTGATTACAGAAGAGTATATATGACGTGTAAAATGCTGAAAGATAAATCGCGAAGGAGGGAAAGTCCGGGAAATGTTTAGCAGCGGGATAGGTGTTCTATCGATTTATCGTATATGATGGTAAAGCAACGTTAAACCAGTGTGAATAAGCTTTTGACCCCTACTCCGATCAGGTAACAGAAAACGAGTGGGGGGTTCCTGGCGCGAGATGTTAGTCCAGCATCGCGGGATGACCTTCCCTCAGGAGGAGAACAGATAGTGGGGATGCTGGGAGGTTCTTCTGGACCGCAGGCACGTGCCACCTGTCATACATTTCGAAGTACTTGCTTTCGAAAGGTTGAGAAGGAGATTAACTGTACATCGATCTTAAATGTGGCGTAAAGATTAGCCGAAGATAAGTTTAGAACGAATATCGCGTTTCGAAGTAAGTAAACGAATCGCAATCGTTTAACGTTTCAACGAACGATACGATATAACTGTTGTTGAATTACGAGGTGTGAAATTATGAACGAATTGGTGTTAAAACAAAGATTTTAAACAAGGAGTTTACTGTGTGATTGTTATGAGAAATATAACGTAAAACAGTTTTGAGGAATAGTCGTAAAATGCAATTTGTAAATCAAGCTTAATGCTACCGAGCAATTTAGATGCGCGTGTAATAAATCGGGTGAAATAAACAAGGCCTGGTAATAAAAAGTTCAATGACATTACTGACAATGGAGCTTTATCAAAATTATAGTAAAGTGAGCGAGGAGATCTACGACCTCCGACGGTCCTCCGTGCAGCAAGATGTCAAGAAAATTCACGTTGTTGACAATGTTTACGAACGAACGAGGAGTGATCGCGAGAGATTCGTGAAATCGCCAAACAGCCAAGATACAATAATGGAATGTGCGTCCGATTCGAGCAGTGAAAGTTACAAAGAGATTCATCGGAAGCAGATCGAAAGAAAAGATTCATCGCCGGTCGCTGCGTCTAGTGCCTTTACAATTGATAATATTCTTGGACGATGCGAGAAAAAGGACATCGAAATACCGTCTGGTTTAAATTATACCCAAGATAGAGAAGAAGACCAAGAAGAGAGAGACGAAAAAATGGAAGAAAATCAATTTATCAGACCAACAGCCGTATCTGCCACGTATTCCGGTAAAAAAAATTGTAACAGTGTTCGCTGTATCTTTTATATAACGCTGTGATTATGTCACATTCAAAAAAAAAAAAAAACAACAAAGTAATAGATAATATATTCTTTTACATCGCGTAAACAAATTTGTTGGCTTAATCTTTTTATGGTTCTAAACTTTCCAAAGTTTTGAAAGAATTCTAAAATACCTACTTATCGATCTTTTTATACGATCACTTCACTACATTTTACAGTCGTTCATCAAAAATCAAATGTGACGCTTTTTCCGAGTAAATATCTATCTAGTTTACAATACAGTAAAACCTCGTTTATATTAGTATCGACGAATTAGATGGTGCTAAGCTGGGTAATGCTATATAAAATCATAATGGATCAATTTCTATCATGCTTGTCTGATATTTCTTATAAAACTGAGATACGAAGAAAATTATTACCCGAACGGCCTTGTCTCCCGACAAACGATGTGTGTTCGGACAAACGATGTTTTACTGTATACTCAAATATGTAAGTATTAATGTTCACTTATCATAATGCTCAAAGGAAATTATTTGCTTTTGCAAATATGAATACAGGATTATACACATCGGCAGGATTATCGTGTTCCGAAGTCACACTAGCCGATCCTCCTGCTTATTCGGCAACGTCCCTTGCTTCAGCATCTATTTTATATAACAATTGGTTTGCTCAATCGAAACCTGGCCAGTTGTTCGGTCTACAAGGTAAGTTCATTCAGTCTGTTATATCAGTCGTTGCAATGCACGTATACATTAGTTAACTCTATCGTGTCGAATTGTGTTAAAAACTTGAGTGACAATTTATGCAACGACTGGCATTGTATTTCTACTACGGTATCCAAAAATTCTAACTTACCCAATTTTTCTTCTTTTTTTTTTTTTNAAAATTTTAACTTTCCCAATTTTTTTTTTTTTTTTTTTTTTTTTTTTTTTTTTTTTTTTGGTGTATACGAGAAGTTTAGAAGCAATTTCATCTTCTTATGATAAAAGATTCTAATTATCTGTTCGTAATAACTTATCGACGTAATTCCATTTTCGCGAACAATGCCGAGAAGATTCTTTCTTGGTTCAAAGAGAATATTGGAGATTACTCAAGGCGTCTGTAGTAACAGCTTTTCGACACGCGAACGTCACATTAACAGCTAGGGTGTTGTATCCGCTTAATTTCGGTGTGTTACTGGTCACGTGTAAAATATTTAATGCCCACAACTTTTGTAATTTCGTGTATTAGATTACTCAGCCTTATTCTTTTTTTAACATTTTAAAATTAATCTGTGCAACAAACTTGCTTGCCATCCGATAGAAAGTATACATTTTGAAGAATCTTGTGCTAGAAAAATTAGACAAAGTTTCCAATTTTCGCAATAACATAGATAATTGAATAGATGGTAATTATAAATAAACGCAAATGAACTACTAATAATTTAATGCACAAGTACGTTCTCTATTTTCTCACTCTCGAAAAATAAGTTCTAAGAATAATATTTGTCACAGACTTCAATCCGCCATCGTTGTTTCTCTTCTTTCGCTACAATCCGCCATGCTGTTAGAAGCCCATTTATCAGCGACGTTACTCTAACTACCTTCCGCAGAAGTGCTAAATGTCTCCGTACACTCGTAAATCTTTATTCCGTCAGTCAGTTTTCTTTTTTCGTCGCTACGTTCCCTTTTTGGCCAATAGTTTCTAGACTTCTAGGAAATATGATTAATTCACACAAAAGAACCCGAAAGAACCTGAAATGAAATGGAATTGTAGGGAGATCAATTAATTCGTGCAAGCGAACATAAGTTTTGATTGAAAAGAAACATAATCGTAAATATAATAATGTTAACTAATGCTAACCAGAAAGAAATAAAAATAAATTTCTGTCATCCTCTATTTTTTGGTTTGGACGTAAATACTTGTCGCTTTGCCCATTTTCTTTGCTTTTATTTATAACTTCATTTATATTTTATTTTATTTATTATAATTCCATATATATTTTATTTCATTTATTATAATTATAATATATTTTATTTTATATATTTATATTTTATTTATTATAATTCCATTCATTCGACGATGATTTCTGTGTTCATGGAGATGAAAACAATGAAAATGTTATATTTAGACATAGCAAGAAAGGAAATTGTAGATACGTGTGTAGGTAAACAGAGGCAAAGCATTCTCATTTTGTAGTAGTCTCCAATATACAACGAAAGATTTACAGGAAAACACAAAAGGTCTTGTGCAAACATGCGACATCTATTTGTTGGTTTAGAGTGTAAGGGCCGTGTAGCTAACTGAACATTAAACAAGAGAAAACAGAAAAAGTCTCTATTTCTACATGAAGTGATCGGAATTTTCAGAATTCCAGGATAAACATTTTACCAGAAACCTTCTATAATCATTTCACAATTCCACTAAATATTGGAAACCATATCATTAAATTTCAAAATATCCATTACAGTTTTCTATTTGACATTCATTTTCACTACATAAAGTGAAGAGCTTTTTATTCTATTACTATATCGCTTGTAATCAAATTCTTCCAAGCAATAAAAAATTTTATTAAAAAACACAAAACAGAAAATATAATATCAATACAATGTATCAATATTTATATTTAAATAGTGAGTTTTTATATTTAAAATAGTGAGTTTTTATTAATACTACATCTATATATTTTTATACTTTTAAAGCTTTTAAATTATTTATTTTCATTATTAATTAGAAAGTTTACAAAGTTTAATTGTTATTATAGCTACTTATCCTATTTATATACGAATAGTTAAATGTTTAGAATAATAACCGTTAAAATTGCAGAATTATAATTAATTAATTAAATGTTCTCTTTGTAGATATATATATATATATATATTTTTTTTTTTTTTCGTCAGATAAATATACCGCAGTGTCACATTATCTAAATGCGGCTAACAACGGTATAATATCTCATATAACCCCTTGAACGGAAATGTGTGGAACTTCTTTGCACTATGCTGATAATCACATCGAAATGTTCCTCGGTATAAACTGTTTATTCAGCTCTTTGCCACATTCTGCCTCATATTGACAGTAAGATGTCACACGTTCCTCAAACAATCCCACATGTTTTAGACACGCTTGGTAACTCTAGACACGATCCAATGAACAGACCGAACTAAAGAAAGTGGTAATTGAGTAGAAGTTGATGTGGTTAGTGGAACAATTAAGAGACATGATTATAATGTTAAATTTTTATTACCATAGTTATAAATCTATCACGATCAACTGTCATCTCAGACGTTGCTCAATTATTGACTAATAATAATTGCAATTAAATTTTCATGATTACAATCAGAAGAAACTATTCTTATTCTTTAAATATTGAAATATTTACCGTAGCGCCTAAACCAAGTGGAAGACGATCCAGGAAGCCAGGAATCGACAGGAAACCACGTCAAGCATACAGCGCGAAACAATTGGAAAGACTTGAAGCTGAATTTAAGGTACATTTTGCAATCTATTCTTTCGTAGTATTAAAGGAATTTTCGTAATTTTATTTTTTGTCACACACCTGTACAAACGATTCTATTAATTTCACCGTTATCGAAACGTTGAAAATATATATTTTAAACAGAGTCAGTTTTTGGATAATCCAATTGGATCTAGTACTAAAATATGAATCATGTGTATTTTGTTTTGGAATCGAGTTGAAAATAAGATAATTAAACTCGATTATTACTTGTGCTTCCGTTATACACGATCTGAGAAATAAGGATTGTAATTGTAAAAATATTTATTAACTTAACATTATTCTCCTCAACATAGTGTCCTTAGGCACAGTACAGACAATCGGTTTGCGGTAAATTTTTGCTTTCTAAAAAGCATTGTATCCAAATTACCGCAAACAGTTCGTCTAAAAACAAATCTGTATAAAATAATGAATAACTTATTGCTTCACCACCATGCGGCAGTCATTACTCTTCGTTCGTAGTCATGCAGTACTTCCATTTTGGACGCAACCTTGTCGCCGTTACTGTTAAAATTTACGTTCCGTGTGAATTGTTCCATATAAATTAAGGTTCTTACAAAACGCGGCGGCAGCTTACCGTCGCGGCAAATTTACCATAAATCGCTCGTCTGCACCAAGCCTTAGAGAACTTTATTTTTAATATTATTTAAAACTTTTTGAGTACTATCATGTAACAATTCTTGTTTTTGAAATAAACAGATAGTATCAACTCGTGTCAGAGCAACAAGGAAATTATCGAAGTATACTTTTATTAGCGAGTAATTTGATCACCGAAAATACAATACAATAGAAAACGTTATCGTGATTTTTAAAACTAATTTTGCACAGGTTATAATTAACTATAAAATTTTTTCGTTTCTACCTATTATACGTAACGATTATACAGATATTTTAGGAATATAGAAAGTAAAACATATTGTATCAAATGCAAATTTATGTGATATAAGATTTATCAGCAAAGAAAAAATTGATAGATAATTGAAAAAATCGACAGAGACAAACCTGTAAATTTTTCTTTCTCTATTTAACATTGATAATTCTAAAAAAATAATTATGACCACACCTCACCATTATCTATAAAACTGTACATCATGTAAATTAATAAACCAATTGACATATATATAGTTTTACATACGTGCTAAAAACTTGTCTCCTTATACTAAATACTTTTCGAAACATCACTCTTTTAACGGCCACTATTTTGTTAACTATTTTTTTATGTTATTTGTCTTGCTGAGAAGCATGATTTAATATGTTAAATTAAAATTGTATACTTTGAATTTATATTTTTTATTTTGAATCATTGAAATACCGATAAAAATATATGGAGGCCATAATATATACACGGAAAAAAGAAGGAACGTCAAGTTTTAACATTTTAAGTTGTAGCAAACGAAAATTTATTTTTCAATATATATAATGTACATGTTACAACTTCATAGTTCCTCGTAAATCAAAATAAATATAAAATTCAGAAAATTTTAATTCGCAACGTGTGTGCACGACATTGCTAGTGATAAGGACTTATCGAAGCATACGAAAAAATATTGAACTCAAAATGTCAAAGTTAATCTTCTTTTCTATGGACTTTTCATACTATATACTATATACTCTATACAAAATCTCAAGAATGTAGGTTTATTTTAGACAGAAACTGAAACTATAATTTGACGAAAACTATGATTTTATGATTGTTTTTACGATTTTACACATATTTTCCAGTGACAAGACTTAAATATTGGAATTCAAGTTACTTATATATTCTCCTGCTAAAGAAAAATTTATAAAAATTCTGTCGTGTGTGAACAAAAAATAAAATTAATTTAGACATTAATTTAAATAAAATTATTTAAACAGCAGTTGTAATCTATAATGGATACATTTGTTTTGTAGATCGACAAATATTTGAGTGTGAGCAAACGAATGGAACTATCGAAATCCCTAAATTTGACAGAAGTACAAATAAAAACATGGTTTCAAAATCGTCGTACCAAGTGGAAGAAACAACTTACTTCCAGATTAAAGATTGCCCAAAGGCAAGGGCTTTTCCCGCCTCCTTACTTCCCAACAGCTCAATATTCTTTATTACCATACTATACTACGCCACTTGTGTTTGGAACTCCAGCGTCAGATGACGCCAATATTAACGCAATGGCGATACCATCACGACCTGTGGCATCATCGCCAGATACAGTTTGAGCAAATATCGATTCGAACTACTTAGCCGACATGAGAGAAGCACGAGTCGAGTACAATGTACCTCATCTATAATGTGATCGAGACTCATTGTCAGTTCCTCAATTCAACATTTATTGTTAGATGATTTCATACAAAGGCATGCTTGACATCGTATATATTTTTCTTTCTAATAATTCTATTAGCTGATTAAACAACTGTAAAATATACAAATTTATGTTACCAGAAATGCATCATACGAAAGTTTTGTGTACATAAATTATAACTGCAATAAATACAAATCAAACAGAATCTTTGCTTTCCACAAAGTATAATGTCTCATCTATCGATTATTCAATAAAACAAAATTACAAATAGAAAGAAAAAAAAAAATTAAATTATTGAACATAAAAAAATTTCTTGGAAATCAAAGTTTATTTATATTATAAAATAGTATAGAAAGATTTATTTTATAATAAATTTTATTTTATAACTCTTAAATCTTGGATATTTGCTTCAGCTTATGCAATAAATATTTTCGATTAATTTGAATTTTTATATAGATTCTTATCGAATAACACGTACAGGATGATTCCTTATGAAACAATGAGAAAAAGTAGAATAAATTTTTTTATTTGAGCTTTTATTTTTGAAAAAGCCAAGTTTAAAAATTTAACAAAACATATTCAAAGTCTATTTTCTTGAAAATAAATAACTTTAAAAGAAAAATTCCATACTCTTTACTTATTTTTGCATATAGAATAACTTTTTGTTAATTATTGTTTTCTGTTACATCTAAGGTGAGCTAAATTCAAGCATAGTTGATAAATTTTTAATTCTTGAGGCAAAGCCTTAAATAAAAAAATTTTGTTTTACATCATTTTTTCATAAAAAATTATCCTGTGACCAGTGTGTGCTTATACATGTTATTCGACTTGATCCTGTAATAAACAGACATAATATATTTTTAAAAAATTAATTTAATTTTTAAAAAATGTTCAAGCTTTGAATAAAAGATTCACGACTATTTTTTTTTTGTATAATTTTTTATGTTGCACAATATTATAATATACAAAGTGTTGCAGTAATACCTCATAATGTATTGGATCTATCAAAGAAATGTTTTTACAAAAGAGTGCAAAGAAATGCATCGTGTGATCTAAATTATTTTTGTGTAGATGAAACTACATATTTCAAGAGAATATTTTCAACTTCATTTCTAAAATAAAATTATATAATTTTAAATACATTAATCGATTGTAATCTGGGCATTCTCTGTAAAAAGGCATTAACCTAAAAACTGTTGGTTTAGATATTTTAGCTATAATTTTGCAAAGTCTATTCTATAAAATATAAGAACACAAAAGTATTATTCATATCTATCTTTGTCTTTTACATATGTGTATACATATATATACATAAATATTTATAATTATATGCATATAAAATATTTGTTATATATACCATCAAAAATTTTATAAAAAAAAATAAATTAAGATCTTTGATTCAAAATTTGAAAATTTTTTTAAAGATGTGCTTTATGTGTATCTACAAATTTAAATTTTATCACATAAAATTAGTCTTACAAATTTAACGCCATAAATTGTTGACATAATGAAAATGTTAAATAAGTATATCGAGAATCATTTAAATAATTTAACAATTTATAAAAAATATTTTTGTCGTACAGTTTTCATTATTATTCAAATGTCAAAATTTCTTTCAAATAATTAAGCGTTATCACTTAATACATGAATGTATTGTAACAGTAAAAGTAATAGTAAAAGACAATAGTAAAATTGTAAATAGTACCATCTTACTTACGTAGATTTCCGTTAAATCATGACTTTTCTTAGAGTGACTTGATTGACATAAACTTAAATCTTTTGTAAATATTTTCATCAACAAACGTGCTAACTTTATTATAAATGTGCATTCGCACGGTATAAAATTGACTATTCTTTTATTTTGAATGAAACGTTTAGTCGTTTGTGAGTTAAAAGATCGTTGTGAGAGAAAATAATGTTTTTATCATTTTACGTTATATTAACATTAGTTACACAGTCGGCCCCACGCCTTGCCCTACATTGTGGTATATTATTATGTCTCATCGATTTATCTGTTTCGCAAGCAACAGTTCGCACTTTTGGATACACGGGAAATTTTAGTTTTGGAATTATATTGAACTTTTTAAGTTTCAATTTTGGCCTTAGTCTTTTACTCTTTTTTTCATCAGGTAGAGTGCCCATGTCGCGCATTCTCACTTTAACAGACGACTGTACAGTTCTAACTTGAATAGTTGGACTGCAACTTTTGTCAGAGGTTAACATTTCTTTAATAGAAGCTTGTATAGACACATGGAATTTTCCCACTTTGGGCATCGCTGCCGCGATTGCCATCGTATTTTGAACACATAGGTAACAACAGGTTTTTGTGAAATCTATACCTACATCAGGAGCACGATCTTTGACTAATTCTTCTTTCTGATACGGTAGAAGCGCTGGCAAAGGCGATTCTGGAACATCCTCTTTTTCCTTTTTCTTCTTTTTCCTTTTCTTCTCTTTGGCTTTCTTTTTATCTGTCATGTTGTCAAATCTTTCATCTTCCTCTTCTTCGAATTCTCTTTCGACGATCGGAGTTTCTCGTCTCAAAATTTCTCCAACTTCGCTTTCATGTTCTGCCGGTGAAACACTACGTTCTTCACGAAAAGTAGTTGTTTTCTTTTTTTTCTTACGGTCTTTACATTTTCCTTTCAGATGCTTAAAGAAATCTGACGTAGATTTGTGTACTTTGGTTAACTTAGCTTTTTTCTTTCCGCAACATTGAGCGCACCATTGATAAATCCTCTTTGCTACATTATCACGGCGTTTTTTGAACGTAGAATTTGGACTGGAGTTTGTAGCTTGGATTTTTTGATTTTCTGTTTTCCCTTCTCTTTCTATTTCTCGAATTCTTCGAGAATTCGAGTCTCTTTTAGATGTTGGCTGTACTGTTACGAAACGAAATTAGTAAATAGAACAGAATTATATTTTATGCAATAAAATTACTTGAATTGTATTCCGATGAATTTTTAAGGCTCTGTGTATTATTAAAGTCATTTCTTTTTTTGTTATTCCGTCTGTTATATTTGGGATATTGATTTATATTTGCAAATCTATTCTCTGACATTGCCATCGTTGAATTGTATAGAGTATATACTTTTTCATATATTCAATTAATCTTACCACGTTACATTTTAATTCATGATATCATGGATTTATATTTAATATTAGTTGCAGACATGTATTATCAATAAAAAGTTGCATCTTTTCATTCAAATATAAGAATCTGTACATTTTTCATTCTACAGATACAGTTTCTGAAAAGATAATTTTATCAGTGATGAAAGGTTAGCTTTTTATTTACACTATTATATTTGCAGCTATAAGATTATATACAAGTGTTATTAATAATAAAATTACTTACCACAATTTTGCGCAAATGAACAATAAATTTCACAACATGATGAAAGATGATATTATTAAAATTTGGTCCATATTGGGATTTTAAAACTCCCGGGTACTCGGGTACTCGAAGGGTTGCCAACCATGTAAATGTAAAAGTTTCTAATTCCACTTAAATTCCTGTATATATTTACTCTTTCTACTTTAAAAGTATTTCCATTTAATTATAGGGTAATTATTAATTAGTATTTTATAAAATAACAAAGTAGTTAATTTGGTCTTTGCATTTACTTCTGTTCTCTTTTAATATGGTACATTTTTGACAACAGTAAAAACATCGAATGATAATTCTGAAATTGGAACTGATATTGACGATAAGATTTAGATAAAAATTGGTATAAAACGCAGATATAATATTTTACTTCCTTAGTTTCGCGTAAATATATTTTGCAAAATCGTCCCGTAATATCGTGAAAAATATATTTCATACAATAGAACGGTCTTAAACGATATAAATACATCAATTTATTTATTTCAGCCAATAAACTAATACAAGCAACAGCAATTTCAGCGTACTTCTATTTAAAGTGAACGCGTAACATGGCTATATCACGTCATGCGTGGTAATAGCACGCAAGATGGTAGTTTCGCCATAGCGTGATAACTGTTGCACTCTAGCAGCGTAAGAACGAACTAACAACGCGTAATGAACGGGATAGGGACGTGAGGGTCGCGGCGGTGGTAGGACTGTCAGTGGCAACGGTGGCGACTGGCCGATGTCGTGTGTGTGTTTTGTTGCTGATGCGATGCGTCAGCTAAATCTGAAATCATCTGGTAAAAGAGTGTGAGATAAAGAGCGGTCAGCTGTTACGACGGTTGCGAGACAGCGCGACCAAACGAACGGAAAGGGGAGTACATCAGCGGCGAGAGATAGGAAAAACGAAGGGGCCGGACACCGTGGAACGGGGAAAAAAGGTTACAAAGGGCGGATCGCCAGTGGCAAAGGATCGCCCGCGTGCAAGTGATAACATCGATGGTAAACGATGGCGTAAGCTGATCAACTACAAGCCGAGGCCGTGCCGTGTGGTTCTGTGTACGGTGGCTATCCATCATATTCGCCGTTTTACAACAACGCGAGTAACGCTCGGTTGCTCCCTAAAGTCGCGCGCGCCAATAACAGAACGCGTTCCTAATGTAACGTAACGTAAACGTCAGTGAAAATCTCGTTGGATGTGTGCTGTGTGCTGTACCCCAGTTGCTACGCAGGCTGAGTGGTGAATATACTTGGGAGAATTGGCTGGCCCTTGATCACGGTGCAAGATCCCTCGAAGTGTAGACGGCGGCAACGTTCTCTCGGTTTACATCGCGTTTTCCTGTGTCGTTTCGTCGCGATTCTTACCGACTACCATTCGAGATCGCTTCTCGCTTCCTCGCGTTGTCGCGCTGTTGTTTTGTTTGTTGTTGCACGCGTGTATTCGCGAGGTGGTGTCGATATCTAGCCAAGGGCTCCTTACTGTGGAAGAGAATATGGTTACGATGATCAGTGATACGTGTGGATATGTTCTCTTTCTCCTGTTGCTGTTGCTGGTTCCTTATATCGAAAGTGGTAAGCGTAATGAAATTTACATATTGTTCGCTCGAGCCTTCGTGGACGTAAAATGATGATTCCGTGCGTCCACGTTTCATCGTAACGATCGGCTTTCGTCAAAATTGAGATGCACATCCCTGCGCTGCTTAATGTCTGACCCGACGTCATATGCATACGCGCCTATCCGCTCGCACATTTGCATACACGTATATATGTATGTGTGTGTGTGTGCGATCGTCTACATCTCTCGTGAATCATCCTTTCGCGAACAGCGTGTCTCGCACATTTCTTTTGGATTCTGCGAAAATCTGTTTTTTTTTTCGGAAACTTTTATTCTTTAAATTGAAGCGAAATTGCTAGTTCTGCGAGATCGTATTTGTACACTCCCGCTCAAAAATCTTAGGCTTTTATTTTTAATATTCGTTATCGTAGATTATCGTATACATATTTTATAATATATACAATATAATACGATATATGTGTAATATGTAAAAATGCAATATATTAATATATTCATAGAGTTTTTAGTGTGTTTATTGTAAATATAATAACTTGTATATTGCACATTGTATATGTAATTTATATTGTAAATATTTATTGTGTATAATTTACAATTTATATTTATTGTACAAATTAGCCGTGTATTGTTCTAGGATTTCTGAGCAAGCGTGTATGTACATATATAATATATAATTCGTGTCAGTATTACATGAATGCCATTTCACATATTAAAATTATATCGCTGTTTGTGGAGGTGCAATTTTTTACAATCTATGATCGTTAAATACGGATTCTCAATTTGTTAGGTTTATGTTTTTTGTCTTTGACAAAGCATCTTTTCTTGTTTAACTTGAAGCGTGATTTCCGCTTCATTTCTAAGAATGAAAAGACACAGTAAACGGGTGAATTTCCTGACTCATGAATTCGTCACGATTGTAGATAACGTTTCTCCGAATATTTATATCATATAATAGATCGCGATAAATATAGTTCGCTTTTTAATTTTCCAGTTCAATTTGCATCGTGTATCCCAGAATCGTTGATTGTTCGCAAACTTTTATTCATGGACTTTTCGACCTATATTGATGGGGAAAATGTTCAGTGTTCGGCAAAGTAAGAGAGAACCTCTCCTCCGGAGTGTAAATCGTAAAATTACCCCTGTCGGAAGTCCCAATTAAGGACCGCAGGCTGATGTAGGTGATAGTTACATATATACTCGCGAGTGCGTCAGTACGTTGTCTATCTGAAACTAAAAGTCAACTAGAAAAAAAGACCACAACACTTAGAAATTGTTATTAGAAAATCTCAATTTTAATTTTTTGAACTCGTACGTTATGCTGAAGGTGACAATATAAATTGTAATGTAAATTTATGTAAATTGTTTTAAAAATTATAAAAAAATAAATTATATTATTGTAACAGTGATAAATAAATAAATAAAAAAACATTATATTTTAGCGTTGTACATTAATTCATTTTAAACTAAGTGGACGTGCAACAACGTTGAAAACAAATCGAGTTCAAAGGATTAAAATTGTCAGATTCTTATAACGAAAATCTTTTTGATTTTAAAGTGTTATCGTTAAAACCTTTAATCTCTTATCTTATGATTTTAGGTAACCATTAATTATTTATAATTCTGACATCATATTCGATGCAAAGTATTGAAACATTATATGTGATTTGTAATTTCTAATTTTCTAAATTTTTAATTTTCGAATTAGAGAAATGTAAAATTCTCTAATTAGAGAATTTAAATGTAAAATTCGAGTTCAAATTGCACGGCACTGTTATCTTCTTTTTTTCAAACTGAAATCATAATTCGAGCGTGACTTGATATTTTAAATGGTTAATAATGTTATTTCGAATTTGATATCACTTTGATCTTTTACGATATTTAAAAATACGTTTTGTACGTATAATTAAACATTTAGTAACTTGATATATTAAACGGCGGTAAGAATAGTGACAGCTATCGATAAAACAGGTAACCAGTATTTATTAATAAGTAAAATTGAACGTATGTATGACAGGTACTCCATTGAATAATCGAATAGAATTTTTTAGAAAAATATTCTTACATTCTAAGTTTCGATGAGAACGGAAATAAATGTTATTAAAAATAAAAATTTCAGATATAATAAAAATTTTTGTGTCGGAGGAATAGATAATTTGTTCAATATTAAAAAAGTTCTCAATGTTTGTAGCAAGTACTGACATCGAATACTATTTAATGAACATGTAGCACTCGCATATAAAAACGAACTTTTAATTCAGTATTATTTCTATCAAATATTATTTTTAAAATAACTCGTTTCCATGAAACTTTTGTTATACAAATTCTGAAATATCTGTCTCATGAGAACACTATTCGAAAGTGTTCCCAAGTGTAACACTTCTTTCTATAAAAAATTTCGCAAGAACAGATATTTCTTAATATGAAATACAGTGACGGACAAAAGTATTCGTTCAGTGAGAAAATAAAATATCTTGTTACTGAATGACTTTATTTTAATATATATTATATAATATTTACACTAATGTTTAAAAGAAATAAGTGTTTAAACGAAGAAAGCCTGTTAATTTCTGTTAATCTCTGTATGATTGAAGAAAACTGCACCAGATACATATACTTAAAATGATACTGAAAATGAATAACTGAAATATCTTAATTTTGAATAACTTAACAATGATAACTGAAACATCTTCGAAGAATCAAACGCACGTTTGATACATATATTATCGGTTCCTCATATTACATAAGATTTATAATACGTGCGAGATCTCTACTTGTTTTGACGCGTTACGTGCATAATATTCGTTATTGTCTTAAATTTTCTAGACTGTTTCGATTTAAAAATCAGCAGTTTTTGTTTAATTAATGTATAAAACAATTTGTATTACTGTATAGATACCATTACATTATTAATGTATGAAACGATATATGTAAGATGTCAATGTCATATCGAGCTCGCTTTCGATATTTATGCTTCGATTCGATGTTCGTTTTCGTACTTTACGATTATTATGTTGATTATTACCTATTGCGAAAATCTTATAACTTTCTTCTTTTTTTTCTTTTCTCATAAATTGAACAAAGTAATCAAATATCAAGTTGGATAAAAATTTGGGAATGACTTATAAAGTTAATATATAAGTAAATAAGGGAACATTTC